GCAGGGGGGTGTGAACGTGTGAGAGACATGGTTGCTCGTTGAGGTCTGGCTTCCGCCCCCAGCCCAAGCCTGCTGTGCCACCCAATTCTCGAGCAGCGCCTTAGCCGGCTCTTTTGAATGCAACTCGGCCCTTTATGAAAGCGGTTGCCCACGCTAAAACCAACTCACGCCTCTGTGTCTGCCAGGTCAGCCTCAGGGTGGTGCGAGGCCCCCCTCACCCCATGCCCCTCCATGCGCCAGCCCGTAACCCCCCAACAATCAAACTCCGATTGCTCCTCCCCTCTCGCTGGGTTGAACCCAAGCAAGAACACCTGGCTTCCTCGTCTGGTCAGGGCCAACCGTGTCACCCAACGCTGAAAAACAGCAGACACTGCTCATTCAATCCCAACTCCCTGCCCTTCCTGGAAATCGCATGACGCTTTTTGCCCAATGAGCAGGAAACTCACGCCTCTGTGTCCGCCAGGTCAGCCTCCGGGTGGTACTTGAAGCCGCCCTTGTAGGGCCCCCGGCTGTTGTTGTGCTGCACCCTGTGGGCCATGATGATCTCGACGCCGCCGTTGTCCATGGGCACCTGCAGGGGTTTGGGTGCGGGGCGCCCGGGTGGCGGGGCGGCGGCGGCCGTGAGACAAGGCTGCTGGGCTGCGCGGGACGAGGGCCTCGTCGTGCGGGTAGGCCATGGCGGCCTCGACGCCAGCGCCAAATGTGACGCACAAGCCCGCCTGCAGCTGTGCACCTATGCTGCATGCCCATACCCCCCTCCCTCCCACCATACATACGCACGCACGCGCACAGGCGCGCACGCTCTCGCACGCACGTACACAATCGCATCCTTGCTCCCATTCTCTGTGGGTCATCTGCGGCCTTGGCCACCTCTTCCTGTACAACAGCGCTTGCGCCGCACCCATATAACAGCCACACGCTGACATGCCCCTGGGCGAGGCCCTTCACAGGGTCACAACCCGCAATCGGCCCCACCATGAGCTCACACGGTGGCACAAAACTGCCACACTCCGGGCAGATCCCAGGGATCTGCCCGCAAGGATCTTCCCGCAGCCCTTCTCCCACGCTCCACGCCCCGCAACGCAACACACACACACACACACGCGCCCCCGCTCAACCTCTTGCTGTGCAACCCCTGTGGTCCCGGCGGCATCGTCTCGCACAACAGCACTTGCAATCCACCCCCAGCCAGCCAAGCAGGGTTGTGTGGCACGTACACGCCCCTGTGGGGCTCGGCAAAGCCCCTCACAAGTTCACGGCCCGAAATCGGCCTCACCATGAGCTCCACCGAGAGGCTGCGGTCTGGGTTGAGGATCGCGCGCTGCAGTCCGGGGCTCATGTCCAGCATCTCCATGGCCTGGGGTGGTTGGGGGTGGGGGTGGGTTTGACCTATCGTATCACGCATCGCTTTCTCACTCTGATTGATTGCGCTCGCTGCTGCACACGAGCTCAGCTGGGGAGGGGGGCCGCCCGGGACAAACGTTTGGTGCGGAGCACTGGAGCGGGCGTGCAACAAAAGGGGCACAGCTGAGGCATGCCGGGCGGCAGGCGCGCCGATCGCCCCGCCGCAGGCGAGCGGTTGTGCAGACGCGCGCTGTTGCCGCGGGAGGGCGGGGACCGGGAACACTTGCAGGCCCGAACTCGCGCCATGCTGCGCCGAGCGCACCTCCGACACGAAATGCGACACGGCCGCCTTCTCCGACTGCGTCTGGTTCTCCGGCTGGTTGCGCTGCGGCGACGAGTCCCCAAACGGCCCCGCCCACGACGCGGTGAGGCGCTTCGCCAGTTGCAGTGCGCGCGGCAGCGCTGGCCCCGCTGCTGCCTGCAGCGCGGCCCAAGAGCCGCGCTGCGCCAGCAGGCGCAGCATGATAAGCGCGGAGACGACTGGTGGGTTGCGAATGTGTATATATATGTACGGACAGGCTGGGCAGATCTGCCGGTGCTGACTGGGCTTCGAGTTACGGTATATACCCGTGTATGCAGCTATTCGAGACGGCTTTGATGTCTCACGATGTCGTCCGTGCCTGCACGTTTGCATCATTCACCGGCCATCAAGCCGTGCGCAGCGGAGTGCGCGTGGCACCAGTGGGAATGTGGCCGGGGGGCGACGTGGCCATTGCAGGGCCTTCGTGCGTGTGTCAATACCACCCAGCAGCATGCTTTGTTTACTGAATGCGTATGAAGAGCTGCCCGACCAAGCGTCTCAAGATTTGAAACCGTGTGTCCTGCAACTGTGCGCTGTCCGCCTAGGCCTGCTGCTGCAGCCCCTGCTGCTGCGCCACCCTTGGTGCAACTCCCCGCTGACGCTGCGGCGCCAGTGCATGGGTGGCAGGCGGTCCGGCAAGGTTGCAGTTTTATGGCCATGGGCTGGGCGCTCCGACCGTTGCTAAAATCAGGTACTCCATATGCAGAATCCCATCGCTACAAGAGCGGGCAGCGCGTTGGCCGGCGGGATCCTGGCAGGATCTGCTCGTTCAATTACCAGCGGCCGAAAGAAAAACGGGTGCGGCTGTCAAACGACCCGCCAGAGCAACGGTCATTAAATGTGCTAAGCGGCAGATGTGCCGCAGGGTGCACTGCGCAGGCTCGGGGGCGTGGCCGTGTGTTGGGGTGGCCGCCGCTTGTGCGGCTGGACGAGAGCTGCGGCCAACTGACGCGCCTGCGCGGCGCGTCCAAACAAACAATGAAACAATGTGCATGCCCAGGGAATACAAAAATCCATCAAGGTACCCCCGCCCTGCAGCCTGCAGCATATACAAGCATGCATACGCGCAGCTGCCGGGCCTAGGCCAGGAGCCGTCCTCTCAGCTGAGCACGCAGCTCGAGGCTCTGCTGCCGCCGCCGCCGCTGGCAGGCGCCGCGGCGCCCCCGGCCGCAGCACAGCGTGAGTCATGGTCCACCAGCGCCACTGGGTCGCTGAACCCCAGGCCACACCTGTGGCAGGCGAACGGGTGCTGCTGCTGCTGGTGCTGCTGGGCAGGGGACGGCCGCGTGGCCGGAGGGGGCGAGTCGCCTGTGAGGTCAATGACACCACCACTGCTGCTGCCCCGTTGCCGCTGCTGCTGCTGCTGCTGCTGCTGCTGCTGCTGTTGCTGCGCATATGGGTACTGCGTCGGCCGCCCGCCCGCCTGCTGCTGCAGCATCTCGCGCCGCCGCCCCGCGGTTCCGAAAACGGTGTTGGACGGGTCGCTCGCCACCGCCGCCGCCGCCGCCGACGCGCGCACCCCGAGCCGCGCCACCATCCCCGCCGCCTGCGCCGCCGCGGCGGACGCCGCGGCGGCCGCGGCCGTGGCGGCGGCCTTGGGCCGGGAGGGGGCTGCCGGAGGGCGGCGGGGGCACTGGTGGTCGTCTTCGTGGCGATGCTTCATGCACACCTGCTGCCGGCACAACTTGCATGCGTACGTGTTGATGGCCGTGAGCTTCTCCTTGCAGCCATGCGCCGGGCAGCGCGGCTTTTTCGCTGCCTTCTCGTAATTCTGGGGGTCGCAGCCGCCCAAGCGCGCGTGGCGGTCGTAAGCGGCATTTGGGTCCTCCCCCTGGCGCAGCCGCACAGACGCCGCGCAGATGGGGCAGACGATCACGAGCAGCTGCCGGGAAGCCGGGGCGGCTGGGCAGGCGTGGGCGCCGTAGGAGCGGTGGTCCTGGGTGGGTGTTTCAAAGAAGTGGGGGCGTTGGCGGTGGGAAGGGTGGGGATGAGGTGAAGCCACATAAATGTGCGCATGCTGCGCATGGGGCAGCGGCAGCAAGCACACCGATACTGAGGACACGCAGCCATTCGCATGCAAAGAGCTGTGCTGGTCTGATGCGAAAAGCGTGTGGGGCTGCTGCCTCCAGCCCGATGCAATGCGCGGCGCAGCGGCGCGCGGGTGCGCTCGATGCCATTAGCCGAGCCAGTGCTGTGTGCAGAGTAGCCCGCAACAAAAGCGTCCACCAGACGAGTCTCTTAGAAAAGTTTATGGTGCATGCAAGCCGCTGGAGGGACGCCAGACCCGCTTACGAGGCAGTACGTCTTTTTGCAGGCGTCACATTTGAACGGGAGGAAGTCTAACTGGTTGCAGTCAGGCCTAGAACAGTGCTCTCCAAGGCCTAGTAGGTCTGCTTCGTCTCCCATGGCCGCGGCACCAGGCAACGATCTCTTTGCGTGGCTCGCGTGGTTTTCTCACTCGTGGCTGCACGTGGTGCGTATAATAGAGATGCGAGAGAATAACTAGAACAAAGCAAACAAATGATGTGCTTGTCATGCGCCCAGGCGACCCATCCTTTTTCCAGGCGCGGCAGTGCTCTGGGTGGAGGTAGGTTCCTGGGCCGCTTCATTGGTCATCGGGAGCGGAAGGCTCCAGAATGCAGCGCAAAACCCCGCCGCTCACGTTCAACGTCATCTGCGAACCCATATTTGATTGTGCAAAGTGGCTTCATCGCCCAGAACATGCCAGGGTGTCATCAACGTTTGACTCATTGACCACCACTGCACCGGCCGAGCAGCGCTGGCTCACACAAATGGGCACCCGTCCCACACACCCCTAATAGCGTCGTTTCACCTGGCCGTGCACAGCTTTCAGTGCCAGTGCCGCTGCTGCGCGTGTCCCCTGCACCACGCCGGCGCGCAGACCGTCCATCCGCATGAGTACGCCGCCACCCCTCAAGCCCTGCAATCCCTTACCCACCCCCCTCTTCAGCCACATCCAGTGCCCCGTTTCACACACAGAAACCACACAAAGAGGTTTACACGGGGCCAAGCCCAGGGGTCGCTCGCCCGCACTCCTGATATTTGGTAGCAAGCATGACGCTCCCGAGACGCACGGATGGATGATGCATGTGTTGCGACTCTCCCCTCGGACTCTACGACAGAGCTGTGCACCGACAACCTCGGAAAAGGTGCGAGGTGGTTTCTTTCACCAGGGCCGCGCCTGACAACAACCGACGACGACTGGACACATCGTGCACAAGCAAAACAGGGGTGCTGATGGCCGCACCAATCTCGACAACCGCTTGGGAAGGGTTTGTGGCGTCAACGTGTGATGGGCGAGCGGCATCGCGGCAGGGGCACCGCGCCGCGGCCGGCGCCGGCGAGCGCGCCGCGGCGCGCCCCTGTCGCGAAGGCAGGACAAGACATTGGAGTCGACTGTGGTAAGTTTTGGGGAGTGATGCTGTATAGTTGTCGCGCGCGCCAGCTGCGGGTGGCGCCGCGTGCTGCCACCGCTGGCTCCCTCGAACCAGTATTGTGACTACCCTCGTGCTCGCCACTCGGCCCTCGGCTCGTCTCCAACGCCGCGCAACGCTCAGAACGGCGCGGCCCTCGTGCGGAGGGGTCCCTCGCAGCCGCTGCATGTGCCCCAAAGACAAAAGCCTTGGCACGGGCCCAAGGCGCAGGGAGCGATCCGGGCAAACCTCTCCGGGTCGGCAGAAAGGAGGAGCTGTATCATCAAGCACTTGGCGCTCGAGCCCTACAGCCCCCGCCAAGGCGCGGGCAGCGCGGCTGGATGTGCCATGTACAGTATGCGCATGTGCAGGGAACAGCCGCGGGGGTCGACCCTAATGCGTGATGGCGCTGGTGCAGCCTCGAGCCATGCTCGCGGCATGCAGACCCCGCAGTCCCCCACGCGGAGGGGCATCAAAATCGCTCCGCGCCGCGCCGCCGAGGCGCGCACAGCCCGCGCGACCAGGGGCGCAGGGGAGGAACGGCGCGGTGGGTGGGACCCGTTTGGGGGGTCATATGCAAGGAACTCCCTGTCTCGACCGAGGCTCCGCTGCTTTCACATCTCCGCTCCGCACGACGGCGCTGCAAGAAGGCGACAATCAAGACGATATATCGCGCTGGGGTGGCCGCGTTGAGTGGCCGCGAGTGCCGTCTCCAACCCTCACATATGTGCTTAGAAAACAATGTTGTGTGCAGAGCGCCTCACAATCTCTTTTCTTTCACTCAAAATGCAAGCCGAGCAGGCGCCCTGCCGCGGCCGGAGCGGCGCCGCCCCGCGCGGGCGCGCTGCCGCTGGCGCCGCCGCGGCCGGGCCGCCACAGGCCGCCCGCTGCACGCGCGACGGCCCCTCTGCGGGCGACCCCGCGGCGCCGCGCCCCTACCGGCGCCCGCCAAACACGTTGAGCAGGTCCTTCACCTTGGCCCCCGCCTTGCCTTTCGCCCCCCTGCCGTTGCCGTTGCCGTTGGCCCCCGCCGCCGCGCCCTCCTCCTCGTCCCCTGAATCCTCCTCAATGCTCGCCGCCGCGCTGCCCGCCGCCTTCCCCCGCCCGTTCCCGTTGGCCCCCAGCAGCCCCTTCGGCACGATCACGTTGGTGCCGCCCGGCGAGCGGCCGACGATGCCTGTGCCGCCCGTCTTGCGGCTCTCCAGCTTCTTGTTGATCTCCTGCTGTCGGCCCTGCCACCAGGCGATGGTCTGGCGGCCGTCGCGGGGGGCGGCGGGGGCGGGGCCGCGGGCGTCGGAGGTGCCGTCGCCAAACTCCTGCAGCAGCCAGGCCTGGCGGGGGTGGAGGGCAAGACGATTTGGAATGGATGAGGGTACATGCAGGGTGCTTAGGTGGGATGGGATTTGGGGTGGAGTGGGTGGCAAGGTGCAGGCGCAGTGGGGCGTGGTTGTCTGGGCAGGAAAGGTTGTGCGAAAGGGGACCGCTTAGATGCTGCTGGGCGGACCTGAGGCGGCCAGGTGAGGTTGCGGTCTTTTTGCTGCCGGCACAGGCTGCACCGGGCACGGCGGGGCCGAGTGCGAACGGGCGTCCACGAAGATTTGGCCGCTATTCACGCAGCCAACGCCCAGCCCCGCGGCTGCAAGCCATTGATGGAGCCTCTCGCAC